TTAGTCAGACAGCAGTGACAAACCTTCTTTCTGGCTCAATTCCCCCCATTTATCTTCTTTCTTTCCTAGACATCCTGTACATCCTCCTCCTGTTTCTCCCCAGGAACTCATTCTTTTCCCTTTTCCTCCTTCCATCTAATTCTCTTCATCATTTCCTCCACTTATCAGTTCCTCTTTCTCTGCATCCTAATCCTTATCCTGCATTGTTGACCTGGAGCCCTCTGAGCCTCTTCTCTCAGCTGTGGACATCATGACCATAAGCTGAGTCGCAAGGCTATTTATATTTGTTCCTAATGAGGTGAGATTTCTCTACGCCATAGCAACAGTCTCTATGGATACCCTGCACTTGGATACCAGATCCCATCCTGCTTTAAATGTCTTATTATGGGCTGCGCCTTCCCCCCATGTATCATAGCCTAATTAATTCTTGAATTATCACCCTTTGCTGTATGAACAGTGCAGAAAGGCCCTGAAACCAACAAGCTGATGGCATCAAAACTACAGAGCAGACATCCATCAAAAACCACACAGGCATGGAAACCTGATGCACAACTCAGTTCTTTTAAATTGTCAACCTCTGCAACAAGCAGAAGAGAGCAGAGACCTCTACAGGTGCTCTCATTATTTGATCTGAAACACTCACACACACACACACACACACACAGGAGTAGTATCTGTCTTGTGTGGTGCAAGAGGCCAGTGGGTGTGCTATTAGGGGCCAGTTGTAGCCTGAGATGCAGGCAGCCAAGCTCAGATCATTAGAGTTCTCTGTGTCTGAGGTCACACCGGTGTTGAGACCCGCCATCGTATTTCCTGCCACAAAGTGAGACAACCAATCAATAAAGCAAAGGAGCAACTTCTGGAGAAACCCACAGTGGTGATAGCACAGACACAAACACACCAACATAAAGTGTCTTAGTAAGGTGTTGAGCTACTACATGCCTCCAGTGCAGCGTCTGTGTGCCTTGGCATTGACGAGTCTGAACTGTACTGGGGTGGGGGTGGGGTGAACACCATTATTCCAAACGATATTACCTCATCTTGTGTTCTGATGGTGGTGGTGGAGACGTTGTCTAACACGTCAGTCCAAAATCTCCCATGGGTTCAACTGGGCTGAGATCTGGTGGCTGTGAAGGTCATAGCATATGATTCACATCATTTCTATACACATCAAATCATTCAGCGACCCCTCGTGGCCTATGGATGGATGGGGGGGGACTGTCATCCTGGACTATATATCTTGTATACACATGCACAGATGTCGATGGTCTTGGTGTCTTGGTGTTTACAGTAAAACTTGGAAATGTTCCCTGCTTTCTCCTGATGACAGACGCTCTGAGACAGCTGCATGCACATGTACTCACACAGGTACACACACAAACACACACGCTGACAGGTGCTGCATTGTTATGGCATGTCCAATTCTGGCAGCTTGTTTTCCTCAGACCTCTCACCCTGTGTGATGACTCAGAGACGGGGAGATGAAAGGAGATGCAGGGACAGGGGGGTAGAGTGTGGTGGGGGGCTTTGACAAGAGGGATTCGGCGGGCCTGAGATGGCTCGAGCATAAGAAGGTTAAGTAAATCATATCATTAATGCTATGTTAAGAGATTGCTTTGACCTCTGCTTGGCTGTCTGCATATTCAAGTGTGTATGTGTCTGGCCTTTGTCCCACTAAAGCAGGTGGCAGAGATGACGTCCATCTTCTTCCGAGCAGCGTGCATACACATACAAACACACACACACACACACACACACACACTTTCTCTCTCCTGCTCTGTGCTCTCCGGTGTCAGTCCCACTAGATTCTATTGTGCTTGAAATCCACTCATATCAGGTGGCCTCAGTGTGCGGCTTGCTCGCACAAGTGTGTGTGCACATGCAAAGACTCCCACACACACGCATGCGCGCACGCAGGAACACTGCACAGTGGACTGACTTGATTACACAAGCAGACCAGCTCAACCTGACAGAGGAACAAGCACCAAAAAGGAAACACAAAAAGAATATAAAAGGCTTATTTGCCTGTGTTGTATAAGCATGTTTCATCTTCCCACTCTCGCCTACCCTCACCCACACAGGTTAGATCCAATAGCTAGTGCCAAGCCTCTATCTTGCAACACAAACATCCCTATGTGAAGGAATATTGCAGTCGAGTTCTTTTTCATAATCTCTTCCATCTACACCCACACATGCACATAGTGGGGGATGAGAGGGAGATGGGGGTAAAAAGGAGAGCTAGTAAAAGAAAATGAAAAGAGGAGAGGTGAGGGGGGTGGAGAGGAAGTACACATGAGAGCCAGGAGGTAGTTGTTATAGTAACTGTCTCTATACCTGTCAATCAGGGCTATTTCAGGCATCGCCACTACAGGAAAAAAAAAAAAAAAAAAAAAAACGCAAAAATGTACATACCAGGGCAACAGAGCTGTTTTGTTGAGGCAGAATTATCAACCAACGCACAAGCACTGATACTAGCAACTTGTGCCTAACAGACTGATCAAATTAATACTATCAATGAGATCTCAGCACTGTCATTCTTTCTTTTTAAAGATTCTCACATTTCTACTCACACTATACTTTATGAAGAGGAAGATGAAAAGCTGAATGACAACCAGAGCAGCTGCATATAAGCATTAGAGAAGGTTCCCTCATTACACCACAACATAAATCACTACAAACATATCAGAGTATATTAGATTATATGTATCTATTATGGCTCATTACCATTTTCCCCAATAACTCCACCCAGTTATGTCAACTATCTTAACCATTCATCCCTTACTTTTAGCTACAGTAGCTCAACAATTTATCCATTACTTTTAGCGTTATCCGTTACTTACAGCTATCTCAATCATTTATCTTTTTGCTATCCCAACCATTTGTTTCTTTTAGCTATTTCACCCATTTATTCATTACTTTTAAATAGCTGAACTGATTATTCATTGTTTTATGGCATCTTTCCATCAGCACAGGTCAGCCTGCTTTTATCCTGCAGAGCTAGGCTGGCACAGGCTGACCATTGTTACTATCTGTCCCTAGCAGCAGGGGGTCATCATGCTGACTCAGGCTCAGTCGGCCCTGCTTCTACCCAGGGCAGAGTAGGGTGTGGATATTCGAACCAAACCAGATGGGATCTCTCAACACCTGAAGGTTTGGGCCAGATTTGGACACTTATAAGCGTGTTGGGTTCGGGTTGCATTAGGATGCTACACAGAAATATGCATCCTGATTCCTGGTCAAGCTAGCAACGCCATACTGTCATCACGGCCCCAACAAGATGCAGAAAACAGACAAGGCCTTTTATGGTGCAGTGGAAACAACCACACTGACTCGGGAGCAGCTCAGCACGGCTCGGCTGCGCACTCCTCAGCTCGGGAGGGCTGACCTGTGCTGATGGTTAAAACACCATTAGATATTTCAATCATTTATCCTACACTTTATACTTTCTAGCTCGTTTGCCAACTACTTTTCACACACTTGGTCACAGCCATTGGTTTTTTTTGTTTTTTTTTTTTCAAATTAGTTTAACTACCCCACAATCTTTTCATGTACCCTGCTAAGTGCAGTAGCCTCTGGGATACAAGTAGCACTGGTTGGGAATCACTGTACTAGAAAAAGTGCTTCCTTTATCAATAATTTGTATAATTATCAGTATCATAGGCAAAGAAACCCCTTGATTCAGCCCTATTGTGGTGAGGAGAAGAAAGCAGTGAGAGAATAGAGAGGAGAAGTAGGAATGAGCACCAATATGGCTGAGTGCTGAGTTTGGGAGCCATTAAGCAGAAGGTAATTAATACCTGTCACCACAATGCTCTGTTCGCTGCCTTCATTTTGTTTCAGACCAATTAAAAAATGACACTCCTCCGGTGGAGAACGTCTTGTTAAAATTAAGCGCCTGAGATGCACAGACACCTTTGATAAACACATCTAGAGCTACAATTGACTTTGGCAGCAAGAGCATGCTGTATAGATGGATAGAGAGGGAGAGAGAAACACGGCAGCATGTTATGCGTTGTGTCACTTCCAGTAGGAGATGTGAGCTGTTAGATCTGATTAGAAGTGTGTTTCCTGGCTTGTGAGTTTCACTCCCAAATACACACACACACACACACACACACACACACACACACACACACACACACACGAGACTGATGTAATATTATAAGATGTTTATGAGCCAAGAAATACTGACCAGTGAAGACAACTCTCTGCCAATGATTTGCGTCTTTGACGACAAGGACAGACAAATGGTAAGCGGAAAAAAATGAAGGAGAGAGCAGCTGAAAAGCTAAAAAGACAGATGGTACACAGGAAAAAAAGCTTAGGAGCAAAGAAAAAAATAATGAAGAGATTGGGAGGGGAACAAAACAAAAGATGGGAGAGCACTGAGGGAAAATGAAGTGAAATATGGTGGGTTTTTGAAAGAGTTGATCTGATAGAAACTTGAGAAGACAGATTATACGGAGAGAAGAGGGGGGAAAATGGAGAGAGAGGTGGAGTGATGGATGCAGGCAGGGGACCAGCAGCTCTCTGCCAACATCTCTATGCATCCTTCCAGACATCATACTGCGCTGCCATCTGCCTCCCTGACACATACACATACACAGACACACACACACAGGGAGAAGATATGTGAAATCATTAGCGTCTCCTGACACTGAATAAATATCTGGGGATGAAATCAGTCTGTGGAGAAATCACCTGCGGGGAAATATGATTGGATGAGATCACGACCTCATTGGAATATAATTTGCATGTTATCTAAATGGGATCTGCCCCCAATGCTCGTAAGGTCAAACGGCGTTCAATTAGTCGGAGGGAACAACTCGCTCCCTGATTGGCTGAAAGATGCAACAACGGCAGGTGCAGTGCCGCTTGGCTGCTACTCTCCCTGTGAGCTTCAGGACTGCCCTCTTCTGGCTGTTTTACCAGCCTCCACAATTAGATTAAACAGGAATACAGTCAAACAAGACACCCAACATTTAAAGACTGACAAATTCTGACTGGCAGTTGTTGTTTTTAATCACATTTGAGCTGAGGAATAAAAACAAACACCAGGAGCATGAGAGTGCAGCACACAAGAGTGTCTCAGTTAACTGCATAAGAGTCTTATTTATACATATATTTATATAATAGAACAATTTCTCCCACTTGTACAGCCTCCGATTTTGACAGAAATATACCCACAGTTCCCATGAGAGAGAGAAAGAAAAGAGCAAAACAGTGTAGAGTTCTCAACAGTCATCATCCATATCAGAAACCTACAGGCCATCTGTTTTTATAGGTTTATACAACTGTGAGGGATCAGCATTCATTACAAAAATAGGAATATAGTAGATACAGAAACACTAGGGGTTGACTGAGTGAGTGGGGGGAGTGAGGATGTGGCTGTGCCCTCCCATCACCGACATGACGAGTAATGACCACCAATCCATCCACTCAATGTAGGCTCCCAAACAAAAGACAGCCAGCCATCCTGTGCATCTCCATGAGTGTTCAACAGTCCAAACCAGACAAAGAATCAGTTATTAATGAAAAATATTTAGGGTTTAAATTAAACAATTAACAAATTATTAGATTACTATTAGAAAATGAGTACATAAAAAAAAAAACTACAGGCAAGAGGGGTGTGGGGAGGTGTACTAATCAAAGATGAGATAGTTTAGGAAAGTGCAACCAGAATACAGATCAAAAAAGGGGATGGCAAGATGGAAAACAAAAACTTGGTGAAAACTGAACTAAAGAATAGAGAGAGAGAAGTCCGAAGCAGCTCTGAAGTTGCTCTTCACTTCTGTTTCTATAATTTCTGTTAGTGAGAGAAATTGAAGTGTTATTGCTTGGGGGCATTTTTCATTTGGTGTTAACATGTGAAAAAAGAAGAACAAGGAGATGGAGAGGAGAGTTATTGCTGTGGGTAGTATGGCTGCTGCTGTGGGGGTTGCTGAGGGTAGCCAGGGTAGGGCTGTCCGGCAGGAGGGGCGGCTGGATACCCTCCTTGTCCTGGAGCCCCTGGGTAGGGCACATAGGGCATATTGTACTGTCCAAAAGCATAGGGGTTGTAGCCCATAGGCATCTGGAAGTACCTGTACAGAGAAAACAAATGTGAGTTAGAGTCTCCCAAATTTCAACAGCCACATATTAATATACAATTAAAACAACTTTATTAATCCCATTAGGGATAACAAATGCACAAAACAATACAACACACAGAATGAAAAACATCCAGCAAGACCTACAAAGCGTTTAGCAGTCAAACTGCAGAGGCAGTGGATGGTTTAGAGTAGTGATTAGTTTGACAAACGGGTAGAGAATAACGACATCCTGATGGCAACAGGAGAAATTCACTTGCCAAAACACTCAGCTGAGGCCAAAACAGCTGAGGCTGTAAGAATTTGTTGATTACAAAAAAAAAAAAATCCAGTCTTAGTTTCATTCCCTTAACTTCTGAACAGACTTTGACAATGTTGATTAGGCTGTTTCCATCTTTTGTGGCTATGAAATCAACAACTAAAAGAAAAACACACAAAAAGACTAAATCAGCAGTAACTGACAAAAAGATCTGAGTTTGGAGAGAAGATGAATCATCTGTTGTCCCCGCTTCACACTAGCATCTGGGTTCACAACAAATTTAAGACGATCAACAAAACTAGAGCCAAGGCACTTGTGCCATTTAACGAATCACCCAAACGCCAAACAACTGAGCTCGTCATAGGGTGCCATCCCATTCACTGAAGGTTGGATACTTTCAGGTTCATTGTAGTTAAAACATACTATATCCACCAAACCCAGTGTGGATCTGTCCTCAGAACCCAAATTGGACTCATTTGTACAGGTCCAGAGATTTTAACAGGAAGCCAAGCAAAGAAATCGCAGAACAAGTAAAACATCAGCATACAGGGTTTGAAAGAGGATTGAGGTTTGAAGGCATTTCATGAAATGAGAATCTTTTTGACTTCCTTATTGCCTTGTAAAGGGCTCAGCTTTAAATATCTGCCAAGTATCCAGGAGCAAAATAACTACAAGTTAAGGATTTGGTATCACATCTTATTGCCTGAGAGGCCAGAAACACTTCACTTTGAATGGCTGGGTAGGCAAAATTCACAGCTTGTATCTACAACCTGAAAATGAGATGAGCAAACTGAAGATATGAACCATCTAAGAAATATTTATCATTACATTGTAAAAACAGCTGTAGCCTATTTATTTTGACACCTTATTTTTCACAAGCTATTTGCACCAGAAGCTGAATCCTGGCATCAATATACAGACTTACACACGTCAAAATGTCATAAATTAGATGTTGTGTTGGAAAGCTCACCCTGGGTAGCCTTGGTAGGTGGGGTAAGGCGGCCCCTGGGCCTGGGAGGGCGGGGCCGCAGGTGGTGGGTTACTGGTGGGATGGCCGGTCGGTGGTGTGTTGGTGGGAGTAGTGGAGGCTGCCTGAGGGGTGATGGTGGGGGGAGGAGGCCTGGATGGAGGCTGGGGCTTTGCTGGAGGCTGCTGCTGGGCTTGTTGAGGCTGTGGTGGCTGGAAGGTGGAGAGACAGGAGACATTGAATCAGCACCCTACCTGTCAATCAGCACCCCAACTGTCAAGTTCAGTGGTGTTCAACACAGGGATATGTGACTGGGTGCTTACAAACACGGTCCGGGGTGCAGGCGTCGGGCCGGCAGCAGGGGCAGCAGGGGTGCTCTGATAGGCAGGAACGCTGAAGGCGGGAGCGCTGGGCTCTCTGGCGATGCTCTGCTGCAGGTCCCTGGAAGAAGGATTGAAGCATTACAAACAGCACCTGTGCACCTACGTTTCCTTCATATTCACGTATTTACTTGGAGCCCAGAGCGCCCAACTGCCCCGGCTGCTGAGGGGGACACAACCTAACAAATACGTACTTAAGCAGTTCATCCCGCTCTGTCTTGCGAGCAAAGACAATGTCGCTGCATTTGTTCTGGAACTTAAGCAGGATTTCTGTCAAGTCGTTGTAGAACTGAGTAGGGAGAAACAAAAGGGGACAAAAATAAATTGCCCGGCTTGTAGAGCACCTTGACGCACAGAAAGAACAAACAAAACTAATTTTCTGACAAGATGTGCATTACTGCTGAGGCTGGTTTGTGCTGAGCGAGTACCTTGGTGCCTTCGCGCAGGTTGTTGCTGATCTCAACGTAGCTGTCATGGGCTGAAGCCAGCTTCTTCAGGACCTCTTCCCTCTGGTTGGCCTCAGCGTTGGACTGCTTCAGACTGCTGAACTCCTGATGGGACGTCTGGACAGAGATTGTAGGTCAAAAAGAAAGAGCACAGATTGAAGAGGCTCTGAACCTTGTTAGAACATATGCTGATTTATGTACAGTAAACTAGAAGTTATTTCTTCACACACAAGGGCACTTTGCAATTTAGATGGCAAACTGGGTCTTTCTCTCTTTTTGGTCTTGATCTTTGTGTAGCTGTGCTTTTCATTTGAGAGGAGGTCAACTGTGTTAAGCTACAGAACAACATTCAGTTAAGATGGTTTTAGCAGAGAAGAACACTGCTGACACATGACCTGGTTTCAGACTTCATCTCCAAACTGTGTCCATATACCTGAACTTGTCCCAGCAGCTCCTCCTGCGTGCGGAGGCTGGCCTGCACCCTCTGGTTGTAGGCACCGTACAGCTGGTCGAGCTGGGAAAGTGACAGCTGCTCTTCGTTGATGGCCCCGGCCTGGGCAAGCGCTGTCAGGAAGGTGGTAGACATGTCAAAGGTCACAGCCTTGATCTCTCCCTCCATCGTCTCCCTTTCCTTCTTCATCGTGTCCAGCTTGGCGAGCTGGGAGCGCAGCACATTCACTATCTGCAGCAAAGACAGACAAGACAATTTAGCTGTTCCATCCCATTTAGAACACTTTCTTATAATTAGCCCTGGTCTTTCAGCCTTGTCATAATGCCTGCGGTCTATAGAACACCTCAACACCTTTCTGTTTTGAATGCAGTGTTGCTTGAAATACACTCTCCTTTCTCACTTCTTCCAAGTTCTGCTGGCTTAGTTCTTTAAGATCCCCAGTGAAACACAATGCAAATTCAGCAGACAAAATGAAAAATGGAGCCACTGTTGGGAGAAGCACAACATCCACCAGGTGGTTGTGTACAGCAGGTTTCTATGTTTATGTGACATAAATAATTTAGGCATCAGGTGACAACTTTTTATTCTAATGTTTAATTTTAACTTTTACATTAACTGGTCACACCAGCAAAGACAAAGATGGCAGAGCAGGCTGACTAACCTCACTGCCCTGCAGTGTCTTGGTCGGGTTGGCAGAGGGGATGGCAGCACTGAGCTCATTCTCTGGCTTACACAGCAGGGCGATCATGTCACAGTGGGCGTTGTAGCGGTCCTTCACCACCTGGTCAGCCTGTACGGCCTTGTCCAGGACATTGCGGAAGTTTGCACCCTCTGAGGGAGAGAAGGGAAGTCTCAGGTTAGAGCTGACAAAAGAGGAAGGAAATGATGGACAGATGAGGCCAATGGTCCATAGTGCAGGTCAACATGTGTGCGTGTGTGTGTGTGTGTGTGTGTGTGTGTGTACACACCTGCACGAAGTGGTTTGTACAAGTCTCCAGAGGGGGTTCTGTTCCAGCGCTGGTTGAACTTGGATCTCAGTTCGTTGTCCGTTGTCTCTTCATCACCCAACATCTTCAGAGACTTGATGGACAATTACACAAACATAGTGAGTGCACGTAGGAAATGCAAAAGCCTAAACAGACTACATCTATACTAGTCATTCATAGCTGGGCTGTGGGGCTGCTAACTGATCTCTCAGTTACTTATTGAATGAATGATTACTCACATTGACCTATCAAAAGTTCTGCGAGCTCAAGGTGATGTTTACTGGTTTAGTCTGACCAAGAGTCCAAAAGCCAAAGACTTTCTATTTCCAGTGATATATACAAGACAGGAGAGCAGCAAACCCTCAAGCAGTAAATATTTGTTCTTGATAGGTTATTTAATGAGCTGATTAATTTGAGTCTGTTCAATTAACAAAAAAACAAAACAAAAACAAACAAACAAATATTAAAGAGCCTGCCTTCAGCCTGCGCAAAAGCACTTTTCTGTTTTTTTATTTTTATTTTTAGTTACTGCTCTTTGTCTTTTTAGAACAGAACCAACTATGTTTTGGGGAAAATTAGGACTTTTTGGTTTGGACTTTTCAACACTGCCAACAAACTTGGAAGCAGATTGTGTTTTAGGTTTTATGGTTTTCCTCCCGTCTGTTTATTTATTTCTCAACAAGATTTCTAAAAAATGGGTTGGCTGAGGCGGGCAGACAGACAGTCCTTGGCCCAGAGATCAGTGGATTAGATTTCAGTGATGATCCTGATCTGGGATTTCTGCCATTAGGGATGATTATGAGTTGTTAGTGCTTATGTGCATTTCTGGTAGTGGTGAGAGAAAAGTCCAGTGTTCAGAACATCCAAGTCAGCATTAGATTCATATGCTCCTTCGTCAAGACAGCAAAGCCATATCACAAACAGGCTGTTAAAGAGGCTGTTCTTCTGAAAGTGCCTTCTTTACTTTTAGGATTATGGACAAGATGAGGCATTACATCACTGGGTGTGCCAGCTACAATGTGTAGCACCACATGTACAAGTCAGTGTGTTTCTGTGTGTGTCTCTCTAGCACAGACCTCATCCAGGATCTCTCTGTTGCGGGTAAGGAGCTCAGGCAGGTCTTTGATGAGCTGCTCAATGCTCTGCAGTCCTCCCTGCTGCACGATGGATCTGGACTTCTCAACAATGGATTGTGGGATAGAGTCTCCGGAGAGGTCCTCCAAAGCAGCTGGCAGGTTCAGAGATGCCAACACCCTGAGAGTCAGTTAACATATCATCCGTCAGGTATTATGGTGTCTCAAGTGTCAACCTGTGTTCTTCTACCAGGACAATTAAGAATTCTGAGGCTTGCATTAAAATCTTATTTCCACCTTGACCTGAAATTTGGAAAAAAGATGAATATAATTGTGCTGCACCTTATTCTTTGGGAAAAATACTTTATTGGTACCCGGTGCACCACTAGGTTATGAATTTTTAAAATACTCAACCATGAATGGAGACAAACGCTCACAGACACGCTCAGTGGAAAACAATTACACAATTATATCAGCATACAGATATGCACAAACACAGGCAGAGTGGTGCAGCCAAAAGGTAATGTACCCATTGCAGAGATTAGTGGCCTCCCTCATTGATGTCACCAGTCTGTTGACAGTGTCAGCCTTTCGCTGGTTGTACATGCTCATAGACTGCTGCACCGCCATAGGGACCATCTTCTCAAACAAGTCTGGCAAGAAAGGAGCAACCTCTGATTAGAGAGAACACATCACAGTGTGTAATATCTGAAACAGCTGGGTTTCGATGGGAATTCGTTTACCCACGGGATGTTTTTACAATACCTAAAAAACAAAACCTAAATTTTACAATACCTATACAGTACCTATATACCCATTTCATCTAACACCATAAAAATGGTGAACATCACACAAACCAGATTATTTTTAGGTATACAATTATTTTCTTTCTTGCCAAGTGCTAGATGAGAGCTACAGCTAGCGGTCAGTCAGTTCAGCTGACTGAAACTGGATTAACAGGGGACAAGTGTCTCTGACATAACAACAAAACTCCCCTACCAGCACCTCTAAAGCTCACTAACATGTTATATGCTGTCTTTAATCTATATTAAAACTGAAGTATAAAAATGACATGACTGCATTTTTCAGTGAATGTCTTGCCATCACCATGAGGTTGCCAAGCAACCAGCGGAGACATGCATCTCTTGATGAGTAAATGAATTTGTGTATTTCCCAAAAACATTAGACTATTCCTTTAATGTTTCTGACATTAACTCCATCAAAAACTGATAAGACTGTGATGCAGTCTGCCTGACAAAACACTTTTCCATCGTCTGACACTCAGATGTTGATGCTTTGTTTTATGTCTCTCTAAGTGTGTCAAACCATCGTGATAGTGGGAAAGATTCTGTGTAATGTACCTGAGAATTTCTGGCTGAGTGGAGGTGTGATTGCAGTGGCTTTGACCAGCGCTGCCTTGCCGATAGGCTCCAAGTCCTTGACTTCAGGCACACGGTCATGGTAAATAAAATCATTATCTTTTTTGGCTGCGGTGAGGGCACGGTTGACCTTGTCACCCAGGTCCTTAACGCTCACGTACTCATCGTAACGAGACGTCACCGTCTTAACCAGCTCAGCTGCGTGCTGCAGTGATCAACAGAGGAGAGACAGTCGAGCACAAAGGCTAATTTGCTTTTCTGAGATTATACAGGCAATGGAGATAAGGATTCATGCAAATGATGATGGATGGGTAGCCACTTCATCTGAAAATGTGACAGATGAAGAATTGTTATGGGGAATAATCTAAAGGACATGTGAAATCAATGTTACCTGCAGACGAGCGATCTCCTCTCCAAAGTGCTTCTTCTGCTTGGCTACTGCGCTCTGGTGCAGCTGAGCGTTGGCCTGCAGGATGCAGTGCTTGGCCGCCAGCACCGGCAGCACTTCCTGAAAATAAAAATACTGACCAGGGAGAGGCAACCACAGAGCAACACGCAGACACACAAACGGATATATCCACACACAGCGGCGAGGCAAATCACAAAATGGCAGACGCACACCAGCGAGGTCAAATCACAAATGACATCATGAAAGCAAACCACAAACAGGCACAAGCAGTCAGAGGTGTGCACACACACACACAACCAGTGCCCAGACCGATACCACCACCACGAGGGATGCAGAAAGAAAGGAAGACAACGAGAGAGAAAACAGAACAAGCCATGAGTGTTTAACCTCTCAGAAGAAGCTGCAACACCTTCATCAAACATCCCACAGCTGTGTGTGTGTGTGTGTGCATGTGTGCTTGATAGTGACTATGACGGTGGATGTGTTTGTTTGATTTCAGGCAGTTGGGAAGATCAGAGCTGCTGCTCTTCAGATGTGGATCAATGATCTTGTTTTCTGTGTGCAAAGAGCGACATCTCCATTCTCCACAATTAAAAAACTACAAGCTAATGTGTGTAGAGCTGTTGTCACAGAGGAGAACTACACGCTTTATGACAGATACATGTCATGATAATATACAACCAGGACTGGCTTGCACCAGCTATCTGCAATCCATCACTTATTTTGTTTGTGAAGTACTTATTATCTATTAGCAACTTTAATCAGGCTGCACTATTAAAACTTGAAAAATGTCAGGATAGTAACGCATTAATTTGCAAACTGACTGCTATGAAACATCTACAGCACTGTTCAATAACAGGGAAGCAACTGTTTTCACTGCAGCATCATGAGCTGCACCAAAGTCCAAATTAACAGCTTATGGTTCGGTGATGTAGTGAAGTAATATCACAATCCTTTGTCAATGCAAGTACAACTTTGTTTTGTTTATATTATAACCTGATCTTATTACTTTCTGGATTAACAGTTAAGCCCATTAAATAAAATGTTGGTGACAATTAATCACACCTCAAATGAACATATTTTTTGTTGTCTTGTATTGTCTGACAGAAAAGTCCAAAACCAAAGAGATTCCATTTCTAACAATATAAGAAAAATGCTCACGAGAAACTGGAAGCAGGAAATGTTTTACATTTTGCTTGAGACATTACTCAAACAACTCATTCACTATTCACAATATGCATCAATTAATCTTCTGCTGATCTGCCAATCTGTTAATTGATGAACAATTCCAGTGCTAATATGCATAAATGTGCTCCGCTGAGTGTACTATGTAGGTTACAGTGAAAGAGAACAAGAGAATATGCAACCTTTCCAACATCATATTATAAATTTATTTACTTTTTGCATCAGTTTATTAAATAATGCAATCTAGTACCACAGTTCTGCCATAAATCCTCCATTGATGATGGTGATAATGTTCGGCGTTTATTGAAACTACATCATGCAGTTGAATCACCACCTCTGCTAAACAGTTGCCTACAAAAACAGAACATTATCACCTTCATGAAACGGTTTTGAACAGGTAACAACTAATCTCAGCAGAAATGTTGATGTTGAGTCATTTCTTTTCATTTTATGAACGTGTAAATCTCCACTTAGTAAACTAAACTAGTAACTTGTCTAATTTAGGAACAGCTGGTTAATTATTTCCTGCTGTTCGCTTTACTTTGATTTCACTAACCCCAAAAGTATAAAATCTGTAGTGTGACCCTAAGGCTGTGTTTGTGTGTGCGTTTGGTCCCAGTGTTAGACAGACAGTAGAACTAGAAATGCCCATGATTAGACGATGAGAAACTGAACAAATGAAAGTCATAGTGCAGTTTAGTAGTAACCGCCCAATCAGAGTAAAAACAGGGTGGAAATGGACCAATGAGAACAGACAGAGGGTGCAATTTGGACAGTCCCACAACCTGAACATGACTTTCAAGTTTTTAACTCACAAATCACACATACAAAACAGTGCACACAATCAGACGCAGATGCCAAACCGTGCAAACTCTGTGTGTCTTCACCACACTGCACACACGGCTGACTTTTTTTTTTTTTTTTTTTTAAAGCATGTAACTGTGTGTGTGTGTGTGTGTGTGTGTGTGTGTGTGTGTCCTTCACATACCTTAGGAAGGTTATCTTTGTACTGGCACTGCTTGAAGGCATCGCCATAGAAATCTGCAGCCTGATTGGCCAGCTTTGCGATGACAGCATCTTTCATCTTGTCTATTAGAAGACAAAAGTCACTTTTAAAGTCATGAAACCAGCTAGGAGTACACATCAAAGAGCAGAAGTTGTGTTCTTGGAAACCACACACCACAATGGGCTCAGATCAGGTCAGGTCGGTAACTGACTGCTGATATTTGGTCAAGCATTCAGAGGCTACATAAACGTTTCTCAAGGTGAGATGAAATGACCCTTACATGCTACAAAGTGAAAAAAAACTCATTTACAACAAAAGCTCAACATCTCAGCAAAATATGCAGGTCTGTTTGTTTAAAGGAAGCTTACACCATAAAAGTGTTGTGCTTAAAATCTCCACTAAGCAACTGTGGAGACAGAACTGGGACATACACTGTGAACAACCTGGATCAAAGGTGCCTGTTGTCATTGTTATGAATACTCTGAGGGCACAAAAATCATGGGTGTGTAGCTGAGGATGCAATTTATTTAAAGTTCAATTATTCTGCTTCCATTAAATGAGAATCAGAATCAGCTTTATTGGCCAGGTGTGTTGGGCACAAGGAATTTGACTCTGGTACAGCGGCTCTCAAGAATTACTGCTAGGTGTATCTGTAAATGCCAAGTTTACAGACAGTGGACAGAACACTAAGTGGTGCACCAGGGTGATGTATGTTTTCAAGGGCTTGGACATAAACATGGGTTTTGGGTCTGTGTTTTTGAATAGCTACACGACAGTAGTGTGAGGACTCTGCACTGCAAATGCCTGAAAGTCTCTATGATGTAACATTCTCACAGTGAAGATGGTGGGTGTTAGTACTGTGCTAAGTACCTGAGGTGGCTTTGAGGAAGAAGACCTCCTGGGCCTGAGCCAGCATGATGAGACTCAGGGGGCCTACAGTCTCGGGAGAGATGTCCATGGTGGGCTCCCTGTTCAGTGCAGACAGCACTGTATCCTTGATGTGGCCAAACGCTCCGCTGGCCAGCTGGAAAGAAACAAAGAGAGAAACAGATCAAACATTACAGCCAAGGCTGAAATTCACATAACCTGATCTTTTGTGTCTATAAAAACAAACAGTCTCACTGGTCTTTAATACTCATCTCTAAATCCAAGTGTCTACTGAAGATGGCTGCATATAGCTGGAGATGATCTGTTGCCTTTCATTCCAGTGTTCACTGAGTGGAGCTTTTTTCTCTGCTATCTTTACACTCTAGGGGCCCGGTTCACAAAAGGGATTTGTGAGCAGTGCTTGCATGCAGACTGCAGATGGTGGTAGCATTGAGAGTCATAAAAGATCATCCCTCACACATAACAGAGTATATATTCTAATCTGACAACCTCTCACTCAGGCCTGGGGCACAGATAAGGGTTCATTTTAATGGGCAAAATCTGTCGGGACCCTGATCTGCTTTGCTGGAGGAACTCACACTTCTGAAGCTGAAATTCCCTGGTGTTTATTGACAGATGACATAAAATGTATGCTGATCCATTTGACTTGTCTTTACATATAAGGACTTAAACTATTTTGTGTGTGTGTCACATCCCTGAAGTCTGAAAAGCAATGTATGATTTTCCTTCTGATAAATATTAATGAAATACAAAATAAACACATGATACAAACAAAACAAAAGACGATACACAAGTGGACATTCGAACCACAACTGTGATACAGGAGAGTGATTACATCCGACTGAGAGCCAAGAAATCTCTCTGAAAAAAAAACTGTGTAAGATTGATGATCTCATGCAGCCATTTCCACCACGCTTTTAAATCACGCTGCGAGTGATACTACGGTATACAGCTGTGTGGCGGCACACTCACCTGATAATATTTGGCTGCAGCCTTCAGCCCCTCATCATTGTCCAGGTTCTGCTCGGAGGCAATCTGACTGGCCAGCGCTGCTGCGTTGAACAACACACATGTCTTCTCGTAGCCCAAACTGGCCAAAGCTGCAACACAAGAGTGAGAAATGCTTTGACAGATGACCTTTTTGTTGCCCCCTTGATCCTGATCTCAAAGGCATTCTGGTTATTTCGAGGGACAAACCAAACCACAAAATACACTTCGACAGCACCCTAATGCATTTCCACTACGTTTGTGACATTAAGATCAATTTTAATTTCTCTTCAACAGCTAGACATGGATTGTTATGTAGAGGATAGAGTGACATCTCCTTCACCCCTTGGATATTCTGCCAGATATCAACTGCTTTCTCTTTTTTAACCTCAACTGGCTGTATGGGGTTGGCATTTTCCCCACCCAACTTTTCTACTTCTTCATTCTGCACTGTTCTCACCCTGAGTATACAGTAAGAATCCCTCAGTCATGAGCTCCAACAGTTCACCACAGAGGATAAAAGATTCAAGCGTGAACTGAATAAATGTGAAGAGTGTAGACTGCAACAAAGGACAAGCTTATGAGTCATGGGATTATTTTTCTTTTGATTCCACAAGGACTCTCTGAATATTAAAGTGTTTTTTTTTTGCTTTGAGTACCTCTTACTCTCTGATCCTAACTTAGATGGGTGACAAAAATCTGAATAAATGCACGAAGAAACAACAAATGAAGATGCTTGCACAAAGGTGCACTGCATGGTACAAGTGAGCAATTGCCATTGAAATGCTGAGTAGGCCCAGTGGATTATGATTTTGAATCAAGGTGGCAAGAGGGAAAGATCTTTCAATAGGAACAGTGACTAGAGAGATGCCTGCGTTTAAATCTATGGGAAAGACATCAGTAAATAGCATCAGAAATTGTGGTCGATGGCACATTTGATTACGGTGATGCTCGTGCATTAGTGCGATATGTAATTAAAAAAGAGAACAACTACTCCTCAGGTGACTGCCAATGTAGGACATGATTAGACTGTGTCAGCAAGAGCAGTCTGTCGACAGTTACATGGAGAAAGATATTATAGCAGGCTTGCAGTGCATAAACCCCTCATTACATTGTGTGGGGCATACACCGGGAGAATGGTAAAGGCCTGAATGCTTGACCCTCTACAGTGAGGGGTCTGGTGACTCTGTTATAATGACACCACTCCCATTTCTATCCTAATGTGAGTGGTCTCTTCCAGGACGACAATGGGGTCACTGAATGGTTTAATGAGTATAAAAACAATATGAATCATATGCTATGGCCTTTGCAGTCACTAACCTATGGGAGATTTTGGCCCAGTGTGTTAGATGGCATCTCTACCACCATCATCATCATCATCATCAAAACACCAGATGAAGGAATATCTTGTGGAATAATGTTGTTAATCCTTCCAGTAGAATCCAGACACTTATAGAATCAATGCCCAGGTGCACTGAAGCTGCACTGGAGACACATGGTGGCCCTAAGATACTTTAAGATAGTTTTTGCTTTCATTTGTCGCCCGTCTGTATGTGCATATCTGATGGTAAGGTAATTTAAATAATTTGCGGATAATAAATATTCTTTATTTTACATGACTTTGAAATGCTGCCAACAAATCCGACACTAATGCTCCCTTCTGAGAGACTGGGTGGCACTAGTGCCACCAACATGATATGAAACGTTAGCCTGTTATAGGACACCTTGTTAGGCCTGTTCCTGGATACAAAGTAAAACTGGGACCTATTTAGTGTTAGAAAACCTTTGTGTGTATGTGTGTGTTTGAGAGAGAGATAGATGGATGGTATGTATGATCGTATCACAGGACAAATGACAAACACACTTTATAAGAGGCTGCACCTACCAAGCTTGACTGAGCCACCGAACAGCGAGCCTTTATCAAAGGCATCCTTCCATGTAAAGGTTAAGCAGAGCTGCAGAAACAGAAAGATGCTTTGTGTTCAGGTTCTGTTTGAGAAATAAGTCTAGCACACAGTCATGCATGTGGCTGTCCAATCAATTACCTGGTTTTCAGAGAAGGGAAACTTTGGCTCAACAGCACACAGCTGGTCGTAGTATCTGTAGAGGAACCAAAAGGGCAGGATTAAAACCATGTTCTTATGTGTCTAAATGCAAAAATACTTGCTCTTATTATTTTCTGGAAATCACATATCACCATTTTCACTGAAAAGATGCACATATTTATTCGGATTATAACTGGACTATAGTTAAGTGAAAAAAAGGAAAATGCAACAAGGCCAAACATTAAATCATACTTGAGGAACTACTGAGTGTTATGAGGGAGTAATTACTGTGGCATCTGCACCCCTGTGGTTTGAGGAACCTGTTAGAGAGACTTGACAATGAGTCAGGAAAAAAAACCATCCCGTTTGCATAGCTATCTTTGTGAGGATAACCACTGACAATGCATTACCCTAACCTCAGCTGTCACAACTAAATGCCTAACCCCACCCCTTACCCCAATCTGAACAGGGAAACAGGATATCCCCTATTTACCAGTTCATCCACCTTGCTTTCCAGTGCCAAGAAAGACTGGGTGCCAACATATGCAAAGAATTATTTTAATTAGATCTACCCACATAAAGTCTGTTATTCTTGTTTCCCATTCAAATACACCAGGGAACATATATGTGCAAAAGATAGCTGAGATGAGGCATGTCCTTCTAGTTTACTAAAGAGAGAGAGAGAGAAAACATCCAGACAAAACAAAGGTTACCACAGTGACCAGTAGCTGTGTGTCTGCTCGCCTGTGAAATAGGATAGGGCCCGTCACCCTGGCTACCTGGCACATGGCTAAGAGACTACAAGCGCAAAGAGCCAAGGAGCTGCAGTGCGAACAGTCAGCAATAGCAGCCTATTCTACGCAGACATGCTAGCTTCCACCTAGTTGCTAATTAGCCAAGATCAGGCATCTACTAACCCACAGACCCTACATTGTAAACACACAGCCTTCCAAAATCTCAACACATTACTCAAAATGATTTCAGAGAATGCGATGACAATTCAGACTGGGGTCAAAAGCTACAGTGGATCAGTGCATCCTCAACATAAACTGACGGAAACAGCAGTTATGACCATCAACTACTAATTTATGGTGCCACAAGTAGTGTGTCGCAAGAGTCACATGAGTGAAAACATTATTGTGTGAAAGGTGAGTGAATGTCCTGCATTACTTCAATTCTGGCTGCACCCCTCCAGCCATCTGTTTATACTTAGCACCTTCTGCTGGTATAATCTTTCAAGAATCTTGGTAAAGACAATTCCACCTTGTACTGCAGCTAAAAAGTAGCTCACAGCGGAGGAAAATGGAAATCCAGAATCCTGCAACACAGCATACCTGGCCACTCACATAATCTGGGCATCCCCTGTGCATAAAAGAACTCATGAGTCACACAGAACAAAGGCTGAAATGAGAGGGAGCTTATTAAGGTTCTATAAATAAATTGAGTATGTTATATTAAACAACACCAACAAAAAGGGTTTTGTAGATGATAAATAGATGGCTAAGAAGCAGGCTAACTGAGTCAGTGCCCCTGCTTTTTCCATTAGAGCTGAGTCATTAAACAATAATTAGTCTGCTAGAGTTTTCTGGTAGTGAGACAGCAGTCAGCAACAGGCAGGCAGGATCAGTGGAGCATGTGACAGAGAGAAACTTTGTTCCAGAAGCTGAAAACATTTTCTATCACAGTTCCTCTATGCAAAGTGGTTAGCACTGTGCCACTCTTTTGCCCTTTATATTTTGCATATATGCCCTCTGTTTTATATGCTAATAGAAAATGCTCAAACAAATTCCACAGGCAAGTTCTATATGTGTCTATATACCTCTACAATAAGACCAGAATGAAACAAATTATTACTCCTGCTACACTGGACATGGATAATGGTGGTCTAAATGCTTCTTCTAAAGGTGGACCTGAATATGAATGGCATATGACAGGAGACTTTGAGGGCTGCTATGTAGAAACGTACCTAAGGATGCTGAGGCTTGTCATAATCAAAACATCAACCTATACTAACTTTAATAAAAGTAAGCATCAGGGTGAGTCAGCTGCTGATTACTCTTTCATTATGAAAATTAACAGGTGACTTTTCTTCATTTTAAACGCTTTATTATGATTTATGTTGAAGTATGTGTTCCGTGTTTCACCCTGGGGACAATAAAGTTTAGTTTGAAGTAGCTATGCTACTTATAATAAGGTGAACCATAACGTTACCGTTTTCTTTGAGTCATTTCAATGAATAGAGACTTAGCTGGATATCATAACTAGCTCGGCCTACAGGGCTAATGTCGTCTTATAAGTATCGAACAGTTAAGTTGAGCAATTTATAAAGACAAGTCTGTGTTGCCGCTCCAGGAAACTTGGCGTAAATCCAATATGACTCAGTTATTTTGCCGACAAACCCTTCCTAGCACGTTAGCTTGGCACTATAGCTTCCAGGTTAGCGACTAAAAGCTAACGTTAACACATAAGGGTGCGGCAATGACTGAGCTCGCTCATCAAGAACACTGCTCTGGCTGTTAGTAACGTTGCAGCTAGTTCGGGTGTGTCATAAAATATAGACTTTATACCTGAGCAGAATCTCCAAGGAACTGTCATGTTTGTCCAGCGGCCTTCCCACCGCGTTTCTGCGAAGCTTGTTCAACTCCTCCACGGCACGTACATACTCCCCCTGCTCCTCGCCCGCTGTGTATGTGGCCGTTACAAATTTCGACAGCGGTTTCACCAGATCAACCTCAGATGACTTTTTTAACGGGACTGAAATAAACGCCGCCATTTCGGCCCGTAAACGTGATATATTAAATCAGAAGACAGAGACGTTTAGCGTCCAACGAACACAAACAACAGAGAGCGACCCACTTCCTGGTTTCGGCCAAGAAACGTCAAATTACGTCATACGAACGGAAAGGTGCACTGCGCAGAATCAGTATCTTCTCAGTGAGAAAATATGATCAGACTTAAAGAAAGAGCTTCATGTGCTCACAGACAGTTTATTATTTCCTCAGCTGGATTACATGGCTGAATTAACCTAACAGGGGCTCATGGGAAATTAGTTGCTGGACCCCTGTAAATCCAATCTTCATCCCAATCTTCATGTAATGTGTATAGTATTCTTATACCAGGATATTACGTGGCCTCTGGTTTAAAGTGAGGAAATCTGATTGAACACTATAAAAATTTACACTATGCTGCATACAAGCACAACATTGCTCTATAAAGACCCAAACAGCTTGTTGTTATGATTTTATTTTACTCTGCTTATTTTCACAAGTATTTAATTCCTTTGTTAAATTCATGATTTTATTACAAAATGACCATTTTCAGAACCACGTTTTTATTTATTTCACATCATTTACTTCACAACACTGGAAGTTTTTATCTGTAGTAATCAACCCACCTAAAGACGACTCACCTCAAGCATCAATTGTGCAGCCAGCTGGTTTTAGAGGTTTTATAATTAGTAAAATGGAGCTCACCTGTGGGCAGTCAATAATAATAATAATAACTTTATTTGTATAGCACTTTACAGCTCATAAAAGGCACAAAGTGCTTCACATACATATCCCAAACCAATAACGCCTACACAAAATGTATATAAATCCTAAAAGCAAATAAAACAAACTATTCAAAACAGTAAACGACATGAAACAATTTAAGGACACTTTACTGAGCATACGCCTGTCGGAAGAATTAAGTTTTTAAAACAGACTTGAATGAGGCTGGATCAGCTTGCGATCGAAGCTCTGGGGCAAGGAGTTCCAGAGCTTAGGGCCGTAAACAGCAAAAGACCGATCGCCCCACATCTTATAGTGAGACCTTGGGACGACCAGAAGTAAATGTTCAGAGGAACGCAAATTTCTGGTTGGAGTATAAACAGTCACAAAGTCAGAAAGGTAAGGGGAGGGGGGGGAGACCATGAATAGATTTAAACACAAATAACAATACCTTGAAACCAACCCAGAATTTAACAGGTAACCAGTGCAAAGAAAACAAAATGGGAGTAATGTGAGCGAATCTAGGGGTGTTTGACAAAAGACGGGCCGCAGCATTTTGGACTAATTGGAGCTTCTGCAGAAGAGACTGAGAAATTCCCATGTAAAGAGCATTGCAATAGTCAAGTCAAGAGGTGATAAATGCATGAATGGCCTTTTCTAAGTCTGTACGAGATAGGAAGGGCTTCACCTTAGCTACAAGTCTCAGATGGAAGAAACTGGTTTTGACTACGGAGCTGACTTGTTTGTCAAAATGAACACGGTTATCGAATGTTAATCGGAAAATAAAGATATAGAAAGACCTAAATTTGAAGTGGGGGCGACCGAATCAGCACTAAAGAGGATGTACTCCGTTTTGCTCTCAGTGAAGTGGAGAAAGTTTTGAGATAACCAGAGTTTATTATCTCGAATACAGTTGAGTAACGGAGTAAGAGCGTTCGCGTCGCATTGTATTAATGGCATATAGATCTGAATATCGTCGGCATAGAAGTGAAAATGGATATTATACTTCGACATAATTGAACTAAGGGGGAATATGCATAAAGAAAAAAGAGGCGGGGCTAGAACCGAGCCTCGGGGCACGCCAGATGAGAGGGGAGCACCAGAAGAGGAAGAATCACCGATAGTGACAGAAAACAACCTATTTGTCAGAAAAGAGGTGAACCAACTCAAAACTGCTCATTTTAACCCTATAGGTCAAGGTCAAGGTGTTGTAGCTGATTGTAATAAATACATATGAATCTGGAATAGCCAATGTTTAGAAATGCCTATCTACTGAAATGTGGTGGGGTGAATACTTATACAGACATATTTTGTATGATGTTTTTATATATATATAACTGGTTTAGATCACTTCTGCTTTCTCTTTAAATCCACTTTGAATCAGTGACAATAAATCATGACACCTGTGTGAATATTTTAAAAGGCACTACATGTGACAAGTTGTTTACTCATTTAGACTGAAGCAACAGCTATATATAGTTTTAATATAGCCTGTGGTTATTCATATGGTCATTTATTAATAATACCTTATGTATTAATTTAACTTTGCACATTTTGGATATCAACTGTAGTAATATAGGTGTTTTTTTTTATTTAACAAGACAATCAGGTTAAACAAAAGGACCCACATCATATAATTTTATACTGTGTACAACAGCACATACAGTCACTGATGGGCCTTTGGGACATTCAGATGTGAGCTACCAGCTGTTTTCAGTCCACCAGGATGCAAATTGATGGCTAGTTTTCTGTCCTGGTAAATAATTGAAACAGCTGTACTCACTCTTCATCCCAGATGTGATTCAGCCTCTGAGTGAAAATTAACATGAGTCTGAGTCCTTAACATCTGCTATGGGAGACCTCTGGCAGCTGTTATATGCTCTCAGTTTTGCTCTGCATACGATGAGTCACCGCAGTGTTGTCTAATTTTCCTGCAACACAAGGCCACTGTTCCACACTGTCACCTTTGATATACAGGGGCAGATGTAGGAAAGTATGGACAGGGGTGGCCAGGCTGGGAAATAAACTCAGAGGGGTAGCACATTTGAAAGCCATCATCACTGTAGTAATATAGGTGGCTTATTTGTGCTGTGTAAAATGTAATGTTTTGATGACACTACTTTATAATCCTTGTGCATATCGGTCCTAATGCATTGTTGCCTTTATGTAACTTTTTATTTTAAGACTAAGTGTTTATTGTTACTATGCACTTATGTACGCATGCGCAGAGTGGTAGCAAGTTACAGCAGCTGTGTCTTCATTGTGTTCTTTCCCGTGTTTCTATGAAGTTCTGTTCTTATGGTGTTATGTTGGTTGTTTTCTATTGCTGCTGTAACACGGAAATTTCCCCACTGTGGGATCAATAAAGTACCTACCTACCTATACTGCTTATTCCTGAATAGGGTCATGGTGGTGCTGGAGCCTATCCCAGCTGACACTAGGCGCGAAGCAGGGTACACCCTGGACAGGTGACCAATCTATGACAGAGCCATTTGAAATGCATGTAAAAAGTAAATTAAACCCCATCCATCCATCCATCCATTTTCCTCCGCTTATCCGGGACCGGGTTGCGGGGGCAGCAGTCTAAGCAAAGATGCCCAGACTTCCCTCTCTCCAGACACTTCCTCCAGCTCCTCCGGGGGAATGCCGCGGCGTTCCCAGGCCAGCCGAGAGACATAGTCCCTCCAGCGTGTCCTGGGTCTTCCCCGGGGCCTCCTCCCGGTGGGACATGCCCGGAACACCTCCCTAGGAAGGCGCCCAGGAGGCATCCGAAAGAGATGCCCGAG